TCCCCCCAACCCCCGCCCTTCAGTCTTTGTAATTACTTAATTCTTTAAACTGTTGGAATCGTAAATTTAGTAGAAACCCTGACAGTCTGGCCTCTGCCCAGCTGGAACGTCAATCTGTTGATAACGCAATTACCCCCGGAAGGTGGGTAATCCCAAAACATGGACTGGCAAAAAAGCGACAAGAGAGTAGATCAAAGATGGCACCAGGATGTGTGCAGTCTGCTAAACTCATAGCCCTTTGTATAATAACACAGCGCGCGTATACTAATAACCACACACTTTTCTGTTGGGCATCATTAACGATATTTTGTAGCAGGTCGTAAAGAAAACGGCTTCAATTTAAAAGACATCTGACTGCTAGGGATCTGCCGTAAGGCTCATCATGGTGATGTAGATACCTGTCACACAGCGAAAACAACAAGTGCAAACATGTCACGGGTGACGGGAGGCACGCAGCCTGACTGCACAGGTCAGGCTCATTTCATACCCACGTCGTCAGCTGGGACATTTAACACCTTTTATGTAACTCCAAACATTTCATACATGTAAAGTGTTTTCACAGTTGGCCATGGTACAAAGTGAACTTTTAGAAGCTCGTTTCCAACACAGCGGGATGCAAATGGTGCAATGAGAACTCCAGACTTGATATTTTGAAATTTGAATATTGCAAAAAGTGTTAGTGATTGTCGTATGTGCCAAAGGTTTTGGAGCCTGATCTCATCTATTGAAAACACTTTGAAAAATTCTAAAGGTAATATATTTTATAATGAGCAGAGGTTATTAGATTGAACTTCACTTAAACCTTGGACAACAGAGTTCAAAATTAACATTAAATCAACAAGGCAGGTGTAAGCTGCATGATGGGCCAAGTTATCTATGGTGTTCTATTAGGAGTTATGCTCCTTGGCCCACCAGGAATCTGTGATTGTGGGTTCGATTCAAAGGTTCGCCATGATTAGGTTTCACGGTTTGACAGCACCAAACCCATGTTCACTGGTTTCACTTCAGCAGTGAGCATCTAAGAACCGCATCATCTTGTTGTACTGCGTGACACTAAGCTGACATGCCATGATATCACTGGAATATTGTTTGAGCTGCCTTACACCTCAGTCACCAAGCGCTGTAGTGTCTGTAGTAGTTGCTGCATCATCAGTCTCCGCTAAGTGTCAGGATATAGGCACTGTTTAGTTATAGAAGTAAGATAGTACTTTGTGCAGCAGGTTAAGAACAATGAAAGAGGGATGAGAATTGAAGCTTTCAGCAAAATTCCATCCATACAGAAGCAAGGACACAGTTTAGGCTCCACAGACCACTGGAATCACTGGATGATAAAACGTACACTTCATCCACAAGGGAACCCCAAACTACAATCTGGAACCACGGAATCAGTACCAGGTATATGTGAGGTGAGCAAAACCAACAAACCTCGGACCAACTTGTTGCAACAAGGCAGCACAAGCCGTGTCCATTATGTTATCTGAAAACAAATTTCCGTAAGTAAGCATTGAAACGGAAACGCAAAACATATTGCTTATTTAGCCAGTTGTATGACCGAGGGTCACTTGCTGTTGTTGGTGGATGACACAATGTTGATTTACAGTGTAGTCAGGTGACCAATCTGGACAGTCGTCTTCACGAGCAAGGAGCCACCTCATGAAGGTGAGACAACATCAGGTCACACATCCAGCCAATCCTCATTTCTTCTGTGAAAACCCAGGTTACACCGGGTCTTCAGGTGGAGACCCAAGGTAGAACGGGTCTTCAGGTAGAGACCCAGGTTAGAACGGATCTTCAGGTAGAGACCCATGGTAGAACGGGTCTTCAGGTAGAGACCCAAGGTAGAACGGGTCTTCAGGTGGAGACCCATGGTAGAACGGTTTTCAGGTAGAGACCCAGGTTAGACTGGGTCTTCAGGTGGAGACCCAAGTTAGAGCGAGGGTAGAACATGGTCTTCTTTAGGTAGAGACCCAGGTTAGAACGGGTCTTCAGGTGGAGACCCAGGTTAGAACGGGTCTTCAGGTGGAGACCCAGGTTAGAACGGGTCTTCAGGTGGAGACCCAGTTAGAACGGGTCTTCAGGTGGAGACCCAGGTTAGAACGGGTCTTCAGGTGGAGACCCAGTTTAGAACGGGTCTGGAGAAACAAATGTGACTGATACTAGCTGGTTGTTGGGCTTGCTGACTTGGTTGAAGCATGTCATGAAATCTCCAGTGTGCAGATCCAGGTTCATGATGTCAATGTCTGGTCCAGATTGTGCCCAGACCTTCACATAGCTGAAATGCTGCTCAGTGCACCATTAAACAAACAAACTGCCTTGAAATCTTCATGGGGAACTTTTGAACAATGGCTACTAGCAGTGCAACAAACTGGCAGCTATTCATTCCAACTATCGAACCAAGAATTTTTAGAAATAAAAACACAAAATATGTTGTATCTACATGTAAATGATGAGGTTCCATTAGAACGGAACTACAGAGTTAGATACAAGGTGATGTTCACTGTCCCTTCCTCTGCCAAGAATGTTATCTCCCATCGATGAATTGTCATAAGGAAAACATGGTTGACAGCAGACGTCAAAACACGGCAAGCAATACGTGATTTATCCACTTTTAAGGTTATGAAACTGAACAAAGCCGTTTTGCAGAGCAATGAAAATTCCAAACATTTACCCCACAATGGAAAGAAAAACAAAAACCTACAGCCTTAAATCAAACGATGGTAAAAAGATTCAATAAAGCCGATGAAAAAGATGTTATTTGCCGAAACATCTTCTGGTGAACTATCACCAGAATCTCCCATTCTTACACATCATCACCTCCAACAGACAACAAGATACAAACCTGGATGTTCTAAGAAAATACAACAAGGTTCACATAAAACAAGTCTTGTTAATGAGTCTTTTATTGCTGGGTTTTGACACTACAACACGGTCTGTGTGCCATTGTCTCCATCACAGAGTACAAAACGTCATAAATATGCCCAAGCACTGCTGGAGCTTCTTGCGTTTATTCTCACAATCTGTCTATCAGTGCATCATTTAGTGAGTGGAAAAACTCCCCCGTCATGTCCGTATGTCACGCCACCATCGTTACACGCCTCATCATATACAGCAAATGAAAAAACACTACCGCGTTCAATTAGGTAAACAAAATGTACACAAATTTGTGCCAAGTTATTTCAACCCTCTATTCCACTGTATAAACACAAATTAGTGCTCGTGAAACCAATCGCCTCGGCTCCCTGGTAAACCATGCTCTTTTTGAAGAGAATCTTTTTTCTGTGGAATCGCCCATCCATGAAATTATTACTCTCTGCATCACATTCGTCAACTCACTGGGGGCCAACAAGAAGAGCTCCATTAAGATAAGAACAATCGTTTAGAAATATACAAGAAGGAAAATTATGGCTTGAATTCATGGGAAAATGCAATATTCTGCTTACAAGTATATTTTCTTGGAACTTTTTGTTGCATTATTTACAACAAATATTTTCTCTGCATATCACAAAGATGAAACTGATGATGCCATTTTTTGGCAAGGAATAATACTTTCTGAATTGTCAGTTTCCACATGCTTAATCACATGAGAAATCTGGAGATGACAAATATTTCTACATAGTCCATTGATGGATTTGATAACCAAAGCTTTACACTTGGCAGCAAAAACGTCAAGCAACTACTAAGTACAACCCCAACTAAATCATCTATTTATACATTTAATGTTCAGAAACAGTTTTGTAAAAAGGCGAACCTGTTAACCTGGACTGTATTAGACATACAAAGGCAATCGTTGAGCACTGGTCTCTGGATGTGAGTGAGTAATTAAGTCTGATCCAGACAATCCAGTGATTGATATGAGCAATGACCGCAGCCATCTTGACATGCCATTAAGATGACCAAACAACCCAGAAATCAGGAACGGTAGTTATTAAAAATAAAACATTTTCCACATCATTGACATGCTGAAATCAAATGTCTGTAAAAAGTTGGCTGTAAACTGAAGTAAACATCCCCCTCCCAACCCCCTCACCCCCACCAGTGTTGACCACCCTGGGCCTGGCAGACAATCACCAGTATTGCCGTGGTGATGGATGGGGCTTCAACCACAGCCCATCATTGTTTTCTGGATGACGCCATTCATCAGTTGGGCGACTCTAGAGTGAACCCCACACCCCTCATCGTCTCTTGATGCCCCAATCTGTACTTAAATGACACTAAACGAGGAAAATGGGATTTTATACATAATATTTTGCAATTGATAAAGAAAGCTCTGAATGTCACTAAACCCAACACAAACGAGTCTGTTTCTACTTGCATTGGTGATGCATTACAGCAAGGGCATAATATAACGTAATTAATATTGATATGGAATATGTCTGGCATATCTGCAGAAACTGGCATTGAATAACCTGTCGGCCTCACAACCATAGCCCATCACTCAGTGAGGGTTGCAAGGGAGGCGTCACTCAAAACCAATTGTCCAAGTCTCAACTTGAGAATGATAGTGGGTAGGTAGTGAGGGTTGCAAGGGAGGCGTCAGTCAAAACCAATTGTCCAAGTCTCAACTTAAGAATGATAGTGGGTAGGTAGTGAGGGTTGCAAGGGAGGCGTCAGTCAAAACCAATTGTCCAATTCTCAACTTGAGAATGATAGTGGGTAGGTAGTGAGGGTTGCAAGAGAGGCGTGGGTAGGCGTCAGTCAAACCAATGTCCAATTCTTAACTTGAGAATGATAGTGGGTAGGTAGTGAGGGTTGCAAGGGAGGTGTCAGTCAAAAGTAATTTGACCAATTCTTCCTTCAAGAATATTGGGTAGGTAATGAGGGTGGGAATGGAGGTGCCAGTCCCACTCTCAAAAGATACTGCACAGTAGAGAGTTGTGTGTAGTGAACCAGTGATGGTACGACATGAGTGCAGAGAAGATGTCAGCCAATAAGATTCTGACTGATTCTAGCGAGTGTATTGACTGAAACTAAGGCATCTGAAACAGGAGATTCCCACTTACCACTTCTGTAGGTCTGTAGTACTTGGGGTTGACCCTCACTCGAACAGTTCCAGTCTTCTTATCCTTCCCCACCTCGTTGACACCCTCACCTTCCCACCTGCAACAGTCAGAAATTGGTGAGTGAGTGAGTGAGGACTTACGTTGCTAATATCACAGCGGACAGACAGTAGTGACATATACAACTCAGCTGTTTTTGGCTGCATACTAACTCTAAAATCTACACACAGTATGGTGCAGCAAACAGACTAACTTCAAGGGCTCTCATGCCCTCATGGTGACTTGAACAGTCTGACCATGAATCAAGCAAACACCCATGGTCATGTACAGAAGTCTGACATCTGTGGTGATCTCCGTTCAAAGTCACCATTAATCTTAAAAAGTTCTGTGACAGAGCCAATTCTCTGGCAGGGATACTCAGTCCAAGTCATGTCACAGTCAAAGATTTTTCTAAAGTTATTTAAGACAGAAAATGTTCTTTCATTAATTCACAATCTGTTGCTACAAAATTTACATAAATGCTGATTATTAATCCTACATATCTACTGAAAGCAGTTGTGGAAGTCCAGTGATGTTAAGCAAACTATGTTACATTTGTAATATACATTTTACCCTCCCCCATGACAATGTTTGGTACAGTACATATCATGAATGATTCACACCCAGTTGTCATGGCAACCATCCACCCAATCCTCAGGGATTTATGTTGGAATTCAAACTCAGTGCCCCTGGCAGGCAAATTTGGAAAATAATTGTTACTCTGCTGAAACTTGCGGACATAGTTAATACTTTTCAGGGTTATTCTTATACTGCAATCGATGCAATAATATGAAACTGAGGATTAAACAAGGTATTAAAGAATACATAACTTGGACTTTGTTACTGCCATTCACAGCAGAGATCGGATTGAATATGAGTCTCTGAGTAGGTTTAGATTAATCATTGCATCAAAATCATGGAAACTTGGGCCACAGGAAACACGCCCTCCCCAAATGGGAGAACACCGAGCTAGGAATAAAGGGACATGATGGCCATGGTGAGGGTTTCCTCCTCCACGTTAGATCAGTGTCCTGACTCAACAACAGAAGTGATCCCATGCCCCAACCGTCATGCTGTTGCAGGCAGAGCAAGTGCACTAAGCATGAAAAGGCTGCAACTATGAACAGTGAAAGCTAATATTTGGTCCAAAATGTGTTCAACATTAATGTCCAAGCCCTCGAAAAAAGCACTAAAAACATAAATTCTTCTGGGGAGGTTGATGACAAAACCATATGTACAGAAGACTCCTGATAACCAAAACAGGGAAGAAGGTCTCATAAATCCCCCCTTGACAGATCTCAGTGTATGTGTGGCAAAACTGCACATAAACGTCAGTATTGGTATGGAACTAGGTGATTAATACACATGTTTTAACACACAGTGCACTCGGCGCCGGTGCCAGATCCCAGGCACACTGTCATAACGCCACATCATTTCGGCCATTCTTTCAACGTTTGTCATATTTTACTTCCTAATCAGTCCTCCACTTGTCAATTACAAACTTTTTCATTGGTTGGGTTGTGATCTTAATTGCCGTCCAACTCTAACAATGACATATTGTAATGTGAGGAAAAACTTGGTGTTCAGGGACGAAGGGCTTGTTCCCAGTTCATTTCTGCATGTTATAACTATTGCAATCATCGCTATCAGGACATATACATATTTTAATCAGAAGCACTATAGATGGGACTTCAACCATGGTCGTACATACGATAAGACAAAACGGTTTTTTCTTCATTTTTTCCCCTCATTGTTGAACATGTTTCCTTGCCACATAAATTCAACAGTTTTCTCTTTAAACTGTTCTAAATACATGGAAAGCCCGGCCAGACAGACAGGTTTGTTGATAACAGTATTGGATGAGGTGCATGGAGGTACAGTTCATCCACCAATCCATCACTTCGCAACAAGATCCTTCCATGCAATTCCACCATATACACTTGACAAACCCAAGGATTTATTGTGCTGAGAAAACAAATGTCTTCTAAATCCTAATTATTCTTACTAAAAACTGTATGTTTGTTAAAATATCTTGAAAAGATTCAAATATATAAAGTGGTGGTCATTCAGTGAATTCTGCTCCTGGCAGTATATGCATTTGTACATTCTGTGCAGTATCATGTTCGCAACTAACTACCGGTAATGTATGTATGATCGAGACATTGCAATATAAAAAGCACACATATCTAAATAAACTGAACAAACCTGTGTTGATCCATATAAATGATTAGAGAAATATAAACTGTATTTTTAATATTCATCCTAAATTGTTTATACTAATCAATAGAAGTTTACGACCACTTAGCAATATGAAAGAATTTACCGTCCTTTAAATCTTTTGGGAAGTATATCAAACATAGAATCTCCAGGCTCCATGCACCATATTCTAATATTCATATTCAAGGAATTGTTTATGCACTAAAAGAATTTGACTGAAATGATAAATACATCTCCAGCTTCAGATTTATGTTAGTCTCGAAAGGCAGAAATATTGCCAATCTGACCACATATCTAATCTATATATATATTTACAAACTGATAGATGTTTGGGTCATCCAAGGAATGTACTAGTATCTACTGGTAAGTCCCTATCATAACTGTATGTTTCCTTGCTTCTTACAAACAATCTGACATGGAGGTGAGTGAGTTGGGTTTTACGCAGCTATTAGCAATATTTTAACAACATCACTGCGGGTTACACCAGAAATGGGCTTAAAGCATTGTTCCCATGTGGGGAATCTAACCCAGACCTTCAGCATGATGAGCATATGCTTTAACCACTAGGCTACCCCACCGCCCCAATCTGACTGGGAAGTCACAGTATTGTAGATCCATGAAGATCCGGGTTAGAATTGGTCTTCAGCAAGCCATGCTTGTTGTAAGAGGCGATTAACAGGATTGGGTGGCCACATGACTTGGTTGACACATGTCATCTTATGCCATTTGCATAGATCGATGCTCATGATGTTGATCACTGGATTGTCTGGTCCAGACTCAATGGTTTACAGACTGAGGCCATATACCTGGCGTTAAAGAGCCGTGTTGAACAATAAACAAACACAATATTGTAAAAATCCAAGTTGGCTGGACTGGTATCATGAGGTCATAATAACTGAGGGGGCGGTGGGGTAGGCTAGCGGTGAAAGTGTTCACTCATCATTCTAAAAGCCATGGTTCAATTCTCCACATGGGTACAATGTGTGAAGCCCATTTCTGGTGCCCCTTACCATGATATTGCTGGAATATTGCAAAAAGTTATGTGAAACCCATGAACCTCACTCATAATAACTGATGTGCTTTCACTGCATAAAATATTATCTTTAGTTACAATGATACAAGTTGGGGGGTGGGGGCTTGCCACAATGACTAGCAATTCCTGATTTTACTTGGAATAACAAACTGGTCTCATTATTGATTAAAAGAGTTGCTAAATCTACATCTATTGATCAACAAATTCCAGAATTGTAATGAATGAAATACGAAACACGGATTCATTGTCTAAATGTTAAACAACACTGATTTGTGTATCTACAAGGCAGACAGAATTTGAATAGAATACTTGTACCCTGCCCTCAATCAACTCTGGAAGTTTACATCAGCATTTCTAACGAGGTGTCTAGAGACACAGTCACACTGATTTAACTCTCCGTGATTAATATGTACCAGTGAACAATAAACTCCTTAATTGATGTGAAATTAGCTTGCACTTACTGCCCCAAACTTCAAACATCTCACACAATCGTCGTGGCTTTGGAAGCAGTGGGCGGACAGATATGGTTATATCACCAAAGAAAAAACCCAGAACTTCACAAGTTTTTTTAAAAGCAAGATTCTAAACAAAATCCTTTTATTACATAAATAAATTCTTATATTGCCAAAGTATGTGACTGGTTATCAAAGGGCCGTGGAAATTCAATATTTATTGATAATCTTTTATCACTAACATAACAAGCGGAGGTTGATAACACTAAATATTTGCTTCCCACCCCTAGCATGGCTCTGTTAACAGGAAAATACTGGCTACAGACAGGCTGACATGCACAGGGTTCTTTTTGCATGTTTATGGACCTATCTAAACAAATCTATATATGGGGGTGAAGGATATGACACACCATGTTCAGAACACAAATCAAACAGTGAAACTATATGTAAGTGCACATTCTTTTCTTAGACTGAAAATCCAATCTCTTATTCCCTCTAAATTTCATATCTTGTTATTCACATGATAACTGCCACATAGAAATCCATTCTTTACTTCCTTCAGAAATGTGATATCATGTCACCATTATCTTTATAGAGATTATTGTTACAGAGTTGACAACAGTAAATATCGTATATGAGGTGCCACTGCATTATTCAATCTTTAATGAACATAGCACATACTTTTACATTCATTATATGTGCTATGTTCTTATGATAGGGAAGCAAATGGGGTAATAATCTTTTTATCACATACTGTCTCTCTTAAAATTTCTCTCACTAAGGAAGCTTCATAATTTGCGTATGAATACATTTTGAGTGAACTGCGCTATTTATCATATGGTGCCAACTATGAGAAGGCACTCCATTGATATGTGAGGCAAGAAAAAACTGTAATCGTAGTTATTTTCGCGTGGGATTAATTTTCGCGCTTTTAGCGCAAAAAGATCGTGCATCAAAAATCATACCAAGCGAAATATTCATGGTCAAGTCCTGACAAAATTCAGACAAATACACAAGTAGGACCAACATGCAATTTGTTTAATGCAGCCAATCAGTGATTAGACCATGTGAACAACACGTGTTCATAAACAACAAACACTACTTTATGATTTCTATGTTTAATTATTGTAAGTACTGGTATACACTCTTCCTTAATTTGTTGTCAGGTAATCTCGCATATGGGACAGGTGTTGTCATGTTGACACAAGTATCATCCCACCTCTCTCTCTGATTGTTTTAGTAAACACGATTCAATTATGGCAGCCTGCTTTGATCATTGCATGTCTATCGGTTGTGAAAACTTTGTGATGGACACCATCACTCAGGTGTTTAAAATGCGCGAAAAAACAACTGCGCTAACAGGTCTTTGGTGAACTTTCCGCGAAAATTGCACCCCATGAAAATATATACGATTACAGTAGTTTGGATTTTTATCAATATTTACCGGATCAGGATACCAAGTTAATTTGATTGGATTTTCATACAGATAACACAAGTCTTTATATATGATAAATCTCAAAAGAATAAACACATCTCATCTTTAGATAGCATGATTCAGATATGTCATTCTAATTACATAAACACCTCACATATTTTGAGAATCAGTATTGGGTGTCATGGAAAGATCATTTCTGGTGTCCACCACTGTGATATTGCTGGAATATTGCTAAAGCAGCAGAAAACTATACTTACTCACTCACGGAAAGATAAAAATATCCCCATAAAAAATGGAGCAGTATTTGTAAGTCTATTCTTGCAATGAGTGCAGGCTATTTGGCACAGGTTCTATCACACAATCCCCTCAGATCCACTGTAACAGTGGTATTGCACAGGTCCCATAGTGCTAGTCAAATCCACAGGTGTAGATGGATATATATATATCCATGCCCATGTGCCATTGTGGCCACTTAATACACATTACAGTTTACAACAAGGTCACCAAACCTGAGTTGGACCTTTCTTATACTGTGATGAAACTAGGTACCAAATATGAAAAGAATCTAGTGAACGGTTCTTAAGATATTCCAATTCGTACGTACGTACGTACGGACGGACGGAACCTAACACTATATCCCCCGCTTCGCGTTAAATGCGCGGCGGGGATAATAAGCATTAGATTTAAATTTGTCATTACAGGTCCAAATTGGAACCATTGCTGATCGTTAGAGGCCTCTCAATGGATGAGCTGGTCAGACTCATGTACTTGTTGATAACTGTAGCCATATAACATGGATCCATAGTTACAATCAGTCACTGGATAGTCAGGTCCAGATTTGATTTTTTATAGACCCACACACTTTGCTGGAGTATTTCTGAGTGTGGAGTTTTACAATCAATTATTCCAAATATACTGCTGATATACATGAAAGAAATCCCAAATATAGTTCAAACGAAAACATGTACGTACACAATGTCTACGTCGGCGATCTTGAAGGCCCTCTCGACAAACTCCCTCACACTGTGGTACTCATTGGTTGAGATTACAAAGTCTTCAGGCTCTTTCTGCTGGAGCATCATCCACATTGCCTGCAACAACAAAATACATACCATACTCTTGTTGTGTGGCAGTGTTTTCATTGTCATACAATGTTCCAAATACAAGTACCTGTTGACATTCAGGAAGGGGCAGTGCACTGTGCTATATTTACACAAAGTTCTGGAATGTACTGCAATCCTGCAACATCTTAGAATGATCTGGTAGCTTAAAATCCTTTGTACATCCCAATCTCTCTTGTAATCTAGGTCACCCTACCTCAACATAGTCCTTGGCATGGCCCCAATCTCTCTTGTAATCTAGGTCACCCTACCTCAACATAGTCCTTGGCATGGCCCCAATCTCTCATGTAAACTAGGTCACCCTACCTCAACATAGTCCTTGGCATGGCCCCATACCTCTATAGTCTTGGCATGGCCCGCTCTCATGTAATCAAGGTCACCCTACCTCAACATAGTCCTTGGCATGGCCCCAATCTTGGCTCCCTCGCTGTAATCTAGGTCACCCTACCTCAACATAGTCCTTGGCATGGCCCCAATCTCTCTCATGTAATCTAGGTCACCCTACCTCAACATAGTCCTTGGCATGGCCCCAATCTCTCATGTAATCTAGGTCACCCTACCTCAACATAGTCCTTGGCATGGCCCCAATCTCTCATTGTAATCTAGGTCACCCTACTTCAACATGGCCCCAATCTCTCTTGTAATCTAGGTCACCCTACTTCAACATAGTCCTTGGCATGACCCCAATCTCTCATGTAATCTAGGTCACCCTACCTCAACATAGTCCTTGGCATGGCCCCAATCTCTCTTGTAATCTAGGTCACCCTACCTCAACATAGTCCTTGGCATGGCCCCAATCTCTTTTGTAATCTAGGTCACCCTACTTCAACATAGTCCTTGGCATGGCCCCAATCTCTTTTGTAATCTAGGTCACCCTACCTCAACATAGTCCTTGGCCCCATGTAATCTAGGTCCCCTACCTCAACATAGTCTTTGGCATGGCCCCAATCTCTTTGTAATCTAGGTCACCCTACTTCAACATAGTCCTTGGCATGGCCCCAATCTCTTTTGTAATCTAGGTCACCCTACCTTAACATAGTCCTTGGTATGGTCCCATGGCCCCAATCTCTTTTGTAATCTAGGTCACCCTAATACAACATAGTCCTTGGCATGACCCCATCTCTCTTTGTAATCTAGGTCACCCTAATCTAGGTCACCCATACCCCAATCTCAACATCACTCAACATAGTCCTTGGCATGACCCCAATCTCTCTTGGAGTCGAGGTTCCCCAGCTGCAGCTCCTCCTGCTGACCGAGGGTGATCTTGGCCACAGCCCGGGTGATTTTACGTGTCACAAAAGTGGGACCTGAGAGTAAAGATGAACATTATGAGGTTGGATATCAATGTCTAGACAAACCCAAATCATCTTCTCTCCAAAAGATTGTGTTAATGACATGCTTCTTTCTGTATCAATATCTATTTCATGTGGACAAAATGGGATTTAACTAATGAGACCTTCAAGTTAATGAAGGAGACAGTACCTCTCAAACTGACTGACCAGATCAAACAGAATGTACAACAGATGACCAGGGGAACTCGTACCGTTCAGAAATATAGGTCAGGGGAACTCGTACTGTTCAGAAATATAGGTCAGGGGAACTTGTATTGTTAAGAAATTTAGGTCAGAGGAACTCGTACCGTTCAGAAATATAGGTCAGGGGAGCTCGTACCGTTCAGAAATATAGGTCAGGGGAACTCGTACCGTTCAGAAATACAGGTGAGGGGAACTCACACTGTTCAGAAATATAGATCAGGTGAACTTGTATTGTTCAGAAATATAGGTCAGGGGAACTCGTACTGTTCAGAAATATAGGTCAGGGGAACTCGTACTGTTCAGAAATATAGGTCAGGGGAACTCGTACTGTTCAGAAATATAGGTCAGGGGATCTCGTACTGTTCAGAAATATAGGTCAGGGGAACTTGTATTGTTCAGAAATATAGGTCAGGGGAACTTGTATTGTTCAGAAATATAGGTCAGGGGAACTTGTATTGTTCAGAAATACAGGTCAGGGGAACTTGTATTGTTCAGAAATACAGATCAGGGGAACTCACACTGTTCAGAAATACAGATCAGGGGAACTCACACTGTTCAGAAATACAGATCAGGGGAACTCACACTGTTCAGAAATACAGATCAGGGGAACTCACACTGTTCAGAAATACAGGTCAGGGGAACTCACACTGTTCAGAAATACAGGTGAGGGGAACTTGTATTGTTCAGAAATACAGGTCAGGGGAACTCACACTGTTCAGAAATATAGGTCAGGGGAACTTGTATTGTTCAGAAATACAGGTCAGGGGAACTTGTATTGTTCAGAAATATAGGTCAGGGGAACTTGTATTGTTCAGAAATATAGGTCAGGGGAACTCACACTGTTCAGAAATACAGGTCAGGGGAACTTGTATTGTTCAGAAATATAGGTCAGGGGAACTTGTATTGTTCAGAAATATAGGTCAGGGGAACTCGTATTGTTCAGAAATATAGGTCAGGGAACTTGTATTGTTCAGAAATATAGGTCAGGGAACTCACACTGTTCAGAAATACAGATCAGGGGAACTCACACTGTTCAGAAATACAGGTCAGGGAACTCACATTGTTCAGAAATATAGGTCAGGGGAACTCATACTGTTCAGAAATATAGGTGGGGAACTCACACTGTTCAGGAAATACAGGTCAGGGGAACTTGTATTGTTCAGAAATATAGGTCAGGGGAACTCACACTGTTCAGAAATACAGATCAGGGGAACTCACACTGTTCAGAAATACAGGTCAGGGGAACTCACATTGTTCAGAAATATAGGTCAGGGGAACTCACATTGTTCAGAAATATAGGTCAGGGGAACTCATATTGTTCAGAAATACAGATCAGGGGAACTCACACTGTTCAGAAATACAGGTGAGGGGAACTCGTATTGTTCAGAAATACAGGGAAGAGGTACTCGTATTGTTCAGAAATATAGGTCAGGGGAACTTGTATTGATCAGAAATACAGATCAGGGGAAGTCACACTGTTCAGAAATACAGATCAGGGGAACTCACACTGTTCAGAAATACAGATCAGGGGAAGTCACACTGTTCAGAAATACAGGTCAGGGAACTTCATAGGGGAACTTATATTGTTCAGAAATATAGGTCAGGGGAACTCACACTGTTCAGAAATACAGGTGAGGGAACTCAGTATTGCTCAGAAATACAGGTGAGGTAACAGGTACTCGTATTGTTCAGAAATATAGGTCAGGGGAACTCGTATTGTTCAGAAACATTGGTCAAGGGTACTCGTATTGTTCAGAAATATAGGTCAGGGGAACTAGTATTGTTCAGAAATTTAGGTCAAGGGAACTCGTCTTGTTCAGAAATACAGGTAAGAGGTACTCGTATTGTTCAGAAATATAGGTCAGGGGAACTCACATTGTTCAGAAATACAGGTCAGAGGTACTCACATTGTTCAGAAATATAGGTCAAGGGTACTCGTATTGTTCAGAAATATAGGTCAAGGGAACTTCCTCGTATTGTTCAGAAATATAGTCAGGATTCAGATTGTTCAGAAATATAGGTCAAGGATTCATTGTTCAGAAAATATAGGTCAGGGAACTTCATTGTTCATTATTCAGGAATATAGGTCAAGGGAACTCGTATTATTGTTCAGAAATATAGTCAGGATTCTCGTATTATTCAGAAATATAGTCAGGTTCCTGGGAACCTTATAGGTCAAGGGAATATAGTCTTTATTGTTCAGAAATATAGTCAGGAAATATAGTCAGAGTCCTCGTATTTATTCAGAAATATAGGTCAAAGGGTACTCGTATTGTTCAGAAATATAGTCAGGTTCCTCATTATTGTTCAGAAATATAGGTCAGAGGGAACTTATATTGTTCAAATATAGTCATTCAGAAATACAGGTGAGGGGAACTTCATTGTTCAGAAATATAGTCAGAAATATAGGTCATACCCGTTATTCAAGAAATATCAAGGGAAATCAGGATGTTATTGTTCAGAAATATAGTCAGGATTCCTCGTTATTATTCAGAAATATAGGTCAAAGAACTCGTGAATTAATACTTGTTCAGAAATATGGTCATCTACTCTGATGGTCAGGGGGTCCTCGTATTATTCAGAAATATAGGTCAAGGGAACTCGTATTGTTCAGAAATATAGTCAGGATTCCTCGAGTGAACTCGTATTATTCAGAAATATAGGTCAAGGCTACTCATACTGATAAGAAATTCAGCCCAGGGTTACTCTAGTGTTCAGAAATTCACCCTGAATATGTTCTTTTATAAAAACCCAACATCCTACTTCCGGTACACCAACAATCTACTTGTCCTGGATGAAACAAACCCATGTTTGTGGAGTCACCAAACATGGTCTGCATACTGTTCACTAACCCTTCTTCATTGGCACAACAAAACCAAACATATTATCACTTTTCATATCTAGTAGCCAGCTAAGTTAAACTGGCAAAAAGTAAAACCAACACAATCAATACTGGTTAAATGAAGATGGTTTCCATCAAAGTTGAGCCAAACACATACAATTGACTGACAGAGAATGGTATTCTTGATCTGCTGTAAGCAGTGGTTGAGGAATATGTCAGCCAAACGTTTTGCAACCATTGCAAAATGGCCACAACAAAACCATTCAAATTCAGTTGATGATTAAGGCCAGATTTTGTTATTTCAACTGATTTGTTGTAATGTCAACATGCAGTCACCTCCCTCTCCACCAGACATTAGCCTTACAGAGTTACACCCAGTAACAGGGCCTGAGCACTGCAAGCCGCTATGGACAAAGGGAAGCAACTCTATATGCTTGTGATGAACCTCTCCTTGGAAGATTGGGAATACGATTCCATCACAAGGTCATCAAATTCACACAGTAAGTCAATACACTACCAAAACCTGACAGAACCACTGTACAGCCTATTGCAACAAATACCACTATGCCATGTGATAAATGTTTAGAAATAAACATGATTTTCCGACAGGACTAATACACAGAAATCTTTCAAAATTCAGGAAACACAATTGCTTTTCCTCAACATATCCAATCATTAATACACTGTTGCTATTGATACTAACATTTACGAAAACCTTCCAGTATCTGAAAATGTCCAGCCCACAATAGCTTCACAAGTAGTCCAAATATTATATCTGATAGCAACATTAATAAAAGATATAAATCTATCCTAATCTATTGATCATCATCATTCAAGTGTAACACTCTTTAACAAAGCATGAAACTGTATTTAACATTTAACCACCACTAATGTTTGCAGCCCAGCTTTCTGATGACATGCTAAGTGCACGACCAGCCATCCACATACGAACTTAACAAAACACCCAGACATCTCAAAAAGCTTGACAAGGGTGCGAAGATCTTATGTTGCCTAAACCCTTGCCTTATACACACAAAGACAGCCATCTAGGCATGAAAAGAACACCTTGAGGCCAAAATCGTCAGTGTTGTTACACCCATTCAGGCAGAAAGTTTGACGACACAATGCGCTAACATAATACTATAATTACAATAATTACGGCTATCCGTACTCGAGCTCTCTCCTCCCATCCATCAAGCGATTCCTCTTTAACACACTTGATTAGTGGAGCACTTGAGGCCTCCCAGCCCTGACACTTGTCAATGGCCCCTTCTAGGGTGTATACACAAGAAGAATGGTCTTGTGATTGTGGTAATCAGTGTAATTATCATGTAACGCCTAGATAGCTGTTTCTGTGTTGATGTTGCTGGAGAAGCATATCTGACTAATTGAAAGGTAAAAGCTACTACTGGATAGTGAGATAGCTACACTGGCTGCCATGACACTCAGTACGGAAAGATACTGATCCGTTGTTTCAGGAGCTGGGATGGCAGTTGCAATAATTATGAAATGTTGATACACTTTAAACCATTTCGGGACAAATGAGGCTGAATCGTGGCATGGTAACTATTAGTATATTGCTTACCATGGTTACACCTCTCTGGCACACAGTGGGCAAAGGTTAATGGCTTGCTTCTCATGTTGTAAGTGAAGAAAAAAAGTTTACACCTGGGTTTATTTAGATATTGGGGTTCTGTTCAAACCATCTGCCACTTACACTTGTTCTTTCAAAGCTGCTGGTTGAGTGTGACATGAAGCTCACATTACACACTTTTTGTACCAGAAGATTCAAAGTTTCGGCTTGTGAGCGAAAAGAAAAGTTAAAACACTGAAGTCATCCTGGTAATACCACTGACACTTGACACACAAACTTTGCAAAAAATCTTTCTGAAATGACTTAATTGTTTCCTTAACATTTAGTACACAAGCTCTTTGAAATGACATGTTTGGCCAGAGAGAAGAAATCTATGCTTTCAGTTATGGGATCCCTGATCATATAACGAGCTAAAAAAAGGCGAGGATCATTAATATTCTGGGTGTGGAGCAGACTGAGCATACAATTTCATAAAATATATCCCATATATTATATTAATCATTCAGGATGTCGCGCACGATACATAAGTTTCATCGTATCACGATACCCATGCCACGATTTGATAAGTATCACGATACCTATTTTCACAGCATTATTGCGTTAGTTACATTTTGCGTCCCTTACATTTTGAACATTAATATTTCATATTTCATAATTGGCCATGAAAAGATCAACATTTCTTATTCTCAGAGATTAAAAAGTTCTAATTTCCCATAATTGTCCATGAAAAATAATCATTAATAACTCTCATAACATCAAAAAACATGATGCAATTGCAAAATGTAAACGATACATAAACATATTTAAACCGATACTTTTGAAAACAAAATATCGATACAGTTTTGAATGTATCGATAATTGTATCGTCTTAGAAAAAGTATTGATGTATCGGGGCATCCCTATTTATCATCACCTTCCTTATTCAGTATATCTGTTATTTCCTGAAGTTATCTGAATTATCTGCTATCTGAATTATACCTTAAAACAAAACAATCATACATTTCAAAGTTTTATGACAGATGTCAAAATGTTATCAAAATCAAAAACCTCATTTATAAAGCCACTCTTCAAATCTTAAAATTCATAATTTTGGTTATGCTAATTATTCTTCCCTATTTTGATTATTAAATAAGAACGAACAAAACCAAAGACATAAATCATTCCTCACTCTCAGTTTTGCCCAACTCAAGATGTGGCACATTTGATATATGTATATATTTTGTCATACAAGGTTCTCCTAAAAGCATCAATAGCAGTAATTTGACCATGGTTGCTGTAAATAACACTGAGCTGATACGATCTGCCATTCAGTTCAACCACACTTTCCTCAAAATTAATGTAAACAATATTGAGTACAATTTTGAAATAAATTTTATAAGTCAAACCTTCAGTTAAGATATACAAGTTGCACTTTTTATAACCAGATACTTAAATAAAATTAAATTAAATTTAACTGCCCACTTCAGTACGGCCTAGTAGATATGGCGGAACATGCTCATGGCAACGTCTGTGCATTGTGAAGAAAAACATCAAACTCATTGTACATGTTTATCATGCCACCCCATCTACACATCTGTATTTGTTTGGAAAAAGTGTGCATTATATTCAAGAAACCGCAGCAGTTCAAAGTGATGGGAAACAAGACATTTATTAACTGCAATTGAACACACTTATTAATTTCCACATGAAACACAAACCATTTGAAGCAGCCATTCAAACTTACACAACTGGAAACAGGGCATAGTTTCTTTGAATATTTCAAACATTGGTTTCTTTTCAGTAAAAGAAAAAATCAATATTTTTACTCTAAGAACCCATTAACAATATTTCATCCAAAACTTGATACTAATTAGCACTTTGCCAATTACAATACAACTTGTGCTGAGGGCGTGTTCACCACTGGCCTGAGACGCTATTGTCAAGCATGGTGCAAGCAGGTTGACCTCGTATGAAACCTGCAATTCTGGAGCCATGTCCCCTACAACTAGTCATTATGATAATAGGACGTCTGCAAATTATAGGGAACCTTGCATAGGACACAACAGAGGCAATAGGCCATAGACAACTGAAAATATATTTAGACCCAAATTTTTTAAATTGGTGACATATACAAAAGGACCAATAGCTTGATGCCTGATGAGCGCCACACGTCGCCAGGCATGATCTGCACCACCCACTGACATGCACCCAGTGTGCATGCTGTTCCGCCCTCTCATTACCCTTAAATCAAGCACAACCAATTGACTCATCAAAACTTAGTAGTCAATAATTAGAATCAAACAGGAGGTAATATATCAAAATATTTACGCATTTCACTGAATTGTGAACCAAACTACATATTGTAAGCTTCAATGAATAAATTACCTATTATTTGCTGGTGCCGTGAATCTATTGCTACCTGTTAACGATGGTTGAGCTAAACAACACAGACCAAAGTACTTTATTTATCAGGTTTGTTCAGTACACTGTTGTTGACAATGAAATGTCAACAATGAATCTGCACCACTGAAACAGCTGCTTCCTCTATGAAGAGAAACAGGAAAATGTAGCCAAATGTGAATAATATTCTCTTTTCAATCAAAATCACATTTCATTTACTGGTAAACGAATTGGAACAGATTGCCAAGTCCGTTATAAACAAGCAATCATTTCCATATGATTTCAATAAAAATACAGAGAAAATGAAAGGCAGAAACTATAAAAGAAATAATCGTAAATTTTCAAAAATTGGATTTGGTTCTCAGTTTGTTCCTATTTTTATTATATTCACTCAGATAGCTGCTTGGGACAGAGTAGTATGCTTTATGACAGCCTGATGTGTAATAAAAATCATATCAACCTAAAAAGTGTGACACAACTCACAGGGATCACGAATCCCAAAGAGCCTTTGAGATGAAACAGTTGAGAGGAGGACAGGGAATCCTGGTAATGTATCTGTTTGACAAAATTAATAGTATGTTGTATCAGCTTTCATGCAATTAGTGATCAAAAAGCAGCCTTGACGTGTCGTTAATAGGAAGGGACTAAGTCCTTTAAACTCCTGCACAAGTCACGCCTTGCGTTGTGCTACTGTCCGTAAATGTCAAAAATATCACCCGACTACCGTAACATCGCTTCCTTGTCAGTGCAAGGGGAAAGGACACATTTGCCTGCGTAAACATCGAGGCAATATGGCCTGACAGAGGAATTACGACAGGAAATCTCCCCCGATATGACTTTCCTTTGTACCCTGTCACAATGAGTAATCAAAGAAAACATCTTTGACTGTTTTGACAATGTCAAACAAATTTTAATGTTTGTGTTTCTCAGCATGTTTAAAGCAAGTACCTGTCATGGTAAAGGCTTCAGATGGGGTAAAAAGTGGTTGTGTTGTCATCTGTGGTTGGATAATCTTCTACCTGACTGTCACGTCCTCCATGTTGGCCAGCCAGCCATACTCTCCACTCACTCATGCCATTATTTCACTGATGTATCCAATTATACCAGTTTGCTGCTACATCACACACAAATTATGATCAAACGGCATTAAAAATGGGAACTTTTAAAATCCACAGTTTTGACATTTTTTACTCTTTCCATCCAACTGATCATACTGTTTTCCAATTCTGTAGTTCCATTTGTTTCATTGCCATTTTGAACATTGCGTCATGTCAGCTTCATGTACGAGGTCGGTCCAAAGGGATGCAGGTTCTAGATGGATTACCACTTTGGTGAATCCCACAAACACACCTATGGTGCTGACAAACCAACAAACATAAGCAGGATGAACAAGGATTCAAACCCATGATCACAGGGACAAGCCCAAGGGATGCAACTCTGCATAGTCACTTCTTTGCCCCTAGTCATGACCAAGTAGAGTAACGCGCAGTCCCCCTAACCAGACTTTCCCTTCAGGAAGGGGGTGTCCTTCATCACACCTCCCTATTAGACTGGTGTTTCTTACCTCTGCGTGGACTCTCATGGTTGAAGAGGATGCCATTGCAAGCAAACATGTTGTACGCCTCACGGTAGTTGATGACGATCCAGTACCCATACAGCTTGGCTACACCTGAAAACAATCACCATTCCACGTGAAGTAATGTGTCCGATACAACCTGACTTTTAAAGTTTGTGTCTCACCATCAGAGGAAGTACATCTGGATCTTGTTACACTACGGGTTTATCTGCTGAATGTATGTGCATGCATTAAGTCTTTCAACGGCATTTGGAAGTGATACACATTAAAGGTTCAAATCTATTCATGTCAACTACTTTATTATGAGGAATACAACATTTCGGAGTATATTCTTACCTGATGAAGGAGTAAAAATTTACTCAGAAACATTGTGTTCCTCATAATATAAAAGTTGACATCCAAAATCTTCATGAGGTTTTTACTGCTGCAGAATTCACGTCAGTTCAAACCTATCATCAAATGGATGTTTTCACATTACTATTTTAAAATTTCTCATGTTAACAAATTGTTAGCATCTTGACATGAGAAAGTTAATGAAGGCTTTAATTCTTGAAACATATTGTACATATGTAGATATGTAAGTATGTTCACCCAGCAGTAAATGGGTACCCGGTGGGATAAGTCATATGACAGTTATGCATACACGGAAACTGGCACTTTATAAATATCCAGTATTATTATAAAGCATTTCCTTATCAACATGTAAATCTTCACAGCAATGTAGAGCTCAATATTTATTCATCATACATGGGGTATACAAGGATGGTGTGTGGACATGTACTACTGAATATCAGTGTTTCAGCTCGGATGGTAAATGTGAAATGAATTTTCAGATAAAAACCATTGTGTACCGATATATCCATTATGTAACTCCTCCTTGAGACTAACATAGGCTTAATGACCATCTATAATTCTCACTGATCCACTCAAAAGAATCAGTGTTTGAAGTTAACCATGAAAGTTTAAGGGTTCAAGAATTAATCCTGAAGTTACAAGCAAATATTTACGGACCCCTAGATTAGAATACAACAGCACAAAAATCAAGGACTCCAGGGCCAACCTCGTTTCAAACTACCGATTTGACGCTTCCCAGCCGAGTTTAAGACAGGACCCTTGACATCCCTGTTATCCCAAGAATGAAGTAACACTCATCCTTTAAAGAATTAACCGGTAATGTTATGGTGGACACTCCCAATTCTTCAGAGTCCATGTTTACACACTGTGACCGGACCCAGCGAACACACCTAATTCACCACCCACCACTGACCATGTTTGTTGATTTGAACATAGTATCGATGTCAGCCTTCACACCTGCTCACTGACCAACCCAGCAACCAAAATGGCTACTTTCCTGGACCACAACAATTTGCCGTTTGTTGCCGGAAGATCGCAGGTATCGTTTACACCCAGGTGCTAGGGGCTAATATAATAAAAGCGGTGAGTGGTGGAAGTGAATGGAGACTGGTCATTATACCTGTCCACACCTGTGTCAATGTTCATCAGCCACTAATGAACATAGGAGACAGGTGTCATCTTACTGAGTTGACCAGACCGGCAAAAGCACAATGCAAGTTTGTTTCAGTATTAATTAAGGTGGAGCTCTCATTCAATGTTCTCCTTCTTTGAAATTAGAAATCAGAGAAAGGGCACTGCTCAGAGAAATGACAATCAATATGATCCTCCGCGACAAAGAAAATTAAATTCTTTGATCAGCAAATGTACTTTCAATCTTTGCATCTTTGCATTAACATTGATTGCAGCATGAAGATTAATCAAGGCAAACCTTGCATGTCATTGACAAGGGTGAGAATGGGTTATATATACAGCAGTTCTCCAACACTGGCAATTCCTGGACACAAGGACTGAATGGTTCCACACATTGAAGTTGAACCCACACATGGAATTCCTACCCTCAGTGAATTCTGCTCATAGCACCTCATGGATACTGAATTCTCCAAAGAGCACCCTTATTTTCTGCAAACAGCACTCGTTGTCTGTTATTATCAATACCCTCATAAATCTGCAAACAACATCACATAATTCTGCAGCCACCCTCTTGAATTCTGCAAACAGCACCCTATTGAATTCTGCAAACAGCTCCCTACTGAATTCTGCCTACAGGTCCCTATCAAATTCTGCAAAAAGCTCCCTACTGAATTCTGCAAATAGCTCCCTATTGAATTCTGCAAAGAGCCCCCTACTGAATTCTGCAAACAGCTCCCTAATGAATTCTGCAGAGCTCCCTACTCAATTCTGCAGATTCTACTGAATTCTGCAAAGAGCTCCCTACTGAATTCTGCAAAGAGCTCCCTATTGAATTCTGCAAAGAGCTCCCTACTGAATTCTGCATACAGGTCCCTATCAAATTCTGCAAAAAGCTCCCTACTGAATTCTGCAGAGCTCCCTATTGAATTCTGCAAAAGCCCACTACTGAATTCTGCAAAGAGCTCCTTACTGAATTCTGCAAATAGCTCCCTATTGAATCTCCTGCAAAGAGCTCCCTACTGAATTCTGCAAACAGCTCCTTACTGAATTCTGCAAACAGCTCCCTACTGAATTCTGCAAACAGCTCCCTATTGAATTCTGCAAAGAGCTCCCTACTGAATTCTGCAAAGAGCTCCTTACTGAATTCTGCAAACAGCTCCCTACTGAATTCTGCATACAGCTCCCTATTGAATTCTGCAAAGAGCTCCTTACTGAATTCTGCAAACAGCTCCCTATTGAATTCTGCAAAGAGCTCCCTACTGAATTCTGCAAACAGCTCCCTATTGAATTCTGAAGAGCTCCCTACTGAATTCTGCAAACATCTCCCTATTGAATACGACAAACAGCACTCTCTTGAATACTACAAAAAGCATCCTCATCAATTCTGCGAACACCAACCAAAGGGACCTTAATAAATTCTGCAAAACAGGACACAAAGGAATTCTGCTGATAGCACTGTTAAGACTACTGTAAACAGGCCCCAGTACATATAGCATCCTAATGACTTGTCAGTAAACACATAAATATGGGATTACTCACCATACGGGGAGCGTGGATAGAAGGGGGTGGTCTCTTTCTGCGGAATTTCCTGCACTTTTCCATACAGTTCACTGGTAGAGGCCTGGTAGAACTTCACTTGGTCTGTAAGTCCGGTTGTCCTGATTGCATCCAACATTCGCAGTGTTCCCACGGCATCAACATTGGCTGTGTACTCGGCCAGTTCAAAGGAAACCTGCACAACAGACACCCAGGTAAGGATGTGGTAGGATATGGTCAAGAAAAGTCAGGTAAATGACATTATGTACATTGGCTGTGTACTCGGCCAGTTCAAAGGAAACCTGCACAACAGACACCCAGGTAAGGATGTGGTAGGATATGGTCAAGAAAAGTCAGGTAAATGACATTATGTACATTGGCTGTGTACTCGGCCAGTTCAAAGGACACCTGCACAACAGACACCCAGGTAAGGATGTGGTAGGATATGGTCAAGAAAAGTCAGGTAAATGACATTATGTACATTTCCAGTTCAAAGGACACCTGCACAACAGACATCCAGGTAAGGATGTGGTAGGATATGGTAACACACATAAAAAAATATCAGGCATATGACACCACGTTCAATGGCTGTGTACTCAGCCAGTTTAAAGGACACCCACACAATAGACACCCAGGTAAGGATGAGTTAGGATATGGTAAAAGATGTCAGGTAAATGAGACCAAGTACCGCCAAGTTGTTCTCATTTGTAGACATAACTATTGAGTTGGTGCACTACAGCTTTCTCTAACGATCAAGTAAAGTTCTCATACTATTCCAGCAAAAGATAGTCATACGTACACTCCGTATTTACCCCTATAGAATATGTAAGAAATGATTCCAATCACTCTTCTTGCCAATAACTAACCATTTCATCCAAATACAAAAAAGAATCAATTTCCAACTTACATAACTGATGTTTCCTGGTTTTAAGTCTGTAACACTTTCTATCATCCATGTGTCCATACATGATGAAAACAGATTTCTTTACACATCCACACAGAATTTAAACACTCCAGTTTGAAAGAAATAAGTGAAGAGACAGTGAAAAATATCCTGTATGCCATAAAACTGTCCGTTTGCTTGAGTATCCTATCGCAAACTAACCACAAATGCTGCATTTGACCATCAAGCCTATAGAGTAGAGAGGAAGGGGTATTTTAATAGAAAACATCAGTGTTTACACACACCACACAGTGGAAACCCACCAAACCTTGCGTCAACATGGCTTTTTGACAGCAACAATCACGCTGTCAGCGCACAAACACAAACATCATATTTATGTTCAAAAGTGTCAAAGTAGTGTCAAATGCTTCACTACGTATGTTTATTGAAACATAAGCCTTTTTCCAAAACTGCAAAACCTATCAGCTTTATTGATTAATTCCATTTTCATCACCCAGGACACATTTGTAGCAAATATCACCCCTGGCTTTGAGCTATCATGTTTTAGATTTTTGGAAAGTGCTGGCTAATCCCAGTTCTACAAATTTCCTAGATTGGGCCTATCCGCCTGACTTGTCGGCAATATTTTCCTTCGCATTCATTGAATCATTTTCAAAACAAAAAAGAGCTTGGGGCAAGAAGAAGGGAAAACTTATAAATTGACCCCCAGCTGTTTCCAATGGAAGCAGCTTTGTGTGGGACTCTGGCTCCCTAACTTGCAAATGGAGTTGTCCGTAGGTTGACAGATATCACGTTTCTATTTTGAATTAATACATCACACGATTTCCTTTCGAATCAATTAAATCAAATGAGATGCTCTGAGTTAAACAAGCGCTGGCCTGCCTTAACATGGAATCAAAACAGCAGCCTCAAAGGCCGGGTGACGCTGATCACGAACGTTCATCCATGACCAGTTTCCACAGCCTGGGTTCCTAAATCAGCCCGGATCTACGGATTAATTGCAATTTGCTATAGTTTCATCTCAAGTGCTGAGTTTGGATTAGACATTGTGCTTCAGTGGAATGGAAAATTGCACAAAATATGTCATTTTCTATATAAAACCTTCCAGCCTAATGCTGATGAGTAAATCGACACGCAGATTTGTGTCAACACACGCCATTATGTTCATAGTGATGACAATAAAACTATCTGTATCAGTTCTGATTGAAATTTGGTGGTTAAAAGATTGGGATTTCATGGGCAGGAAACAGACTGGGACATGATGTGCTGAGTTTGATGAAATAATAGCACTGTGGGGGTTAATCCTATTTAAATACATACACTACCATGTCCAACTAAATTACCACTTTATAACATACAATGTCTTCAAATCATTATTTCCTAACTTTCCTTTCACCGTTGTCCAAATCTACCCACGTGGAGGTGAAAGCTCCATGTCAGTAATCTCGCAGACATGCAATGTTGGTGAGTAAATGCTTTGGGTGACCATCTGTGTTACACTTAACTTGGACTAACTGCTCAAACCAATGGTGAGTTTTCAACATCATGAATAATACTAATTATCAATGAAAAGATTTGATAATTACATCAACTATGTGAATAGCAAGTTTCTGGAAATTCAGAATACATCTACAATTGATCGACAACATAATCTGTATACTATCTGTGAAAATATATTTTGCTTACTTTTTATAAAATTGTGAACCTGCATTTGTACAGGAGTCCAACATCCAGAAATCACCTGTACATCTTATGACAATTTAGAAATGAAAAGTAATTTAGAGATAAAATTCATCTGACAGCTTTATACACGAATGTGTCATCTTGTATTAGTTCTTATGCAGTAGTAAAGACACTAATATCATGACTGAGCTGTCATCACGTGACTGAGCTGTCATCACGTGACATGGCATTACAAGTCATGAATTATTGGGGAAGCCTTGTGGTTAAGGCATTTGCTCGTCACGCCAAAGACCCCCTAGTTCGATTCCCCACTTGGGTATAGTGTGTGAAGTCGATTTCTAGTGTCCCCACTGTGATGTTGCTGGAATATTACTAAAAGCAACATAAAACTAAACTCACAAACTAATGCCAAGCCACATTGTTGATAAATATTTTCCCATTTTCGTCATTATAGTTGGTTGGTGTTTAACACTGCACTCAGCCATATTCCAGCTATATGGCGGCCCCCTGTAAATAATCGAGTCTGGACCAGAGAATCTAGTGATTAACAGCATGAGCATCGATCTGCGAAACTGGGATGTGATGACATGTGTCAACCGAGTCAGCAGGCTGACCACTCGATCCTGTTAGTCGCCTCTTACAACAAGCATGGGTTGCTGAAGACCAATTCTAACCCGGATTTTCACTGGTACTTTCATCATTAACAGTGATCTTACCTTGACATGACTCTGTGCGGCCAGGTTGTAGATCTCTGTGGGACGGACCTGGCTCACGATCTTCACGAGGCAGGTGCTGTCGGTCATGTCACCATAATGCAGGTGCATTGCTGCAACACAAAGTTCGCAAAATATACAAACACAGAAAAAAAGCTAACTCACAAAACATAAAACACACAAGATATAAACAAACAAAAACCCACCCCATTGTCTCAATTGGGAGACAAAGGTATTAACGCAAAACCACCGCAAACATGATTTCATTGATTGATAACTGTTGTGTTCAGACAGCACTATCATGATTATTTTAAGTCACAGCCAATATCCTCATGTTTTTACCGCATCTGTTTGTCTTAACTTACCAACCAATCCTCAACTTACCAACCAATCCTCAACTTACCAACCAATCCTCAACATACCAACCAATCCTCAACTTACCAACCAATCCTCAACATACCAACCAATCCTCAACATACCAACCAATCCTCAACATACCAACCAATCCTCAACTGAGTTCAGTCTGACATCATACCTAAAGCCATGAAATGGGGCTTCAATAAACTTCACTCCTGCTAATCATATTAGAAACCAATACAGTTCCAAAATGTGTTTCAAGAACAACTACAAAATTATGTCTGTATGTCATGTAACTTTGAAATAACTATTAATGTATCGACTGAAATTGAATTTGAAAATATTTATTTTGACACTTAGCAAAGTCTACATTGGTAAGAGTTGGTGGCAAAACCATCAACGTATTCAGAAGCAGCCATTTCAGTTACATCTTACAATTCAAATTTGAGAGGAAATTAAACTGTACCTTAATCGTGCATGGCATTCCGAACACAGTCCCACCATACACAGAGAGTTTTTGAGAGACATCTTTTTTCTGATATACTTAACATTTGTGAATTTAATGGCAGCATTGTTTTGCCTCCGACATTTGTTCCCCACCATTCCCCAATGAGCATCTGGCCACAATTGTATTAAGAGTTTCCCCGGCAACCTACAACTAAAGTAAACAGTTGGTCGGACTTTAATTTCTTTTGTTACACAAACACAAAGGTCACATGATTTTTGATGTTTCAAAACATAACAGGACAAAGTGGCTGGCGTCAAAATCCAAACTTTCGCTTTGGCATTATGGGAGGTACTGCTTGGAGCCATTACAACAAGATTAGCAGAAATTTCCGTATCGGTGGAACAGGGAGTTATTACATGGATTTAAGTGTATGAAAACAAACAATAAGCTATACATGAGACTGAAGAGAAATGGGCTGGCCTGCCGTATGTGTGGTCCTGCACTGCCTACATACATATCATCGACTGCGTGGCCGATCCTGGCGGAACCCGAACCACAGAACACCATGTGTCATTCATGTTCCAGTATTCAGGACAATTCCACCTGTGCAATGTCAGCAGAGATCGGTCATATTTCTAATAGAGGTGTCCTTTGTGTTTCATTAAAAACTATTCACACAAGCTCAACTTTCAACAAAAACAGCTGTATTTCTGATTCTTAGGAGAGATCAAGTGTCTTATTTGAGGCATTTCAGTAAATTTTAAGTTGTGTACTCCTATTTAAATTACTAAATTTTATTTCAAAATAAAATTTAAACAGATGTGAACATAAGTGCTTTGGAGAATAGTTTACAAAAAATGATGTGTGCTGTCAGTGTCTATAGGTTTGGGTTCATAGAAGTTATGACAACCAATTAAGATAGAACTTTTATCCATCATAATTGACAAGCTCAATATCGTCATATTTAAACTTGCATCAAGCAGTTTTGGTCGTCTGGTGAGAAAACATCATGATTACATAGTTTTAGAAGCCCAGGAAATACACTTACTTCTTTTAAGTCTACAATAACAATAACAAGCACATTTACCAAACATTATCAGAACGCAAAGATATAAGTTAAAGTTCATTTTTTAAATTTAATATTTCCAGCTCATCAAAGACATATCATTGGGGCCAAAAAACATTGATTCAAACCAGTCATGAGATTTTGTCTGATTGTGCACAGTGGTGCTCTAGTCAGTTAAAAAGTAAATTGTCGCTTTTTTGTTTCTCTAGCCAGTCAAAAAAAATTATTAAAAGTGTTGCTTTAAGATGGGATGAAAAGCCAAGTATGCACTACTCTAAACCAAAATGACACCAATCACATACACATGGTGGCCAGGTGTTGAGACTTGACCAACCTGATTTCCATCTAATTTGATTGATATTGTTGTGAGCGGTCCTGCTGTGGAAATGAGGCAGCATGTTTCTGGTTGTACCGCTGCATTTGATATACATGAACTACCCACTGTCAGCAGAGTACTAACACATTCGAAATGTGTAACTTACGCCAACAAGCCTCTTATCTCTGGTTCGGTTTGGACAGATGTTTTACATCACGTTTTAGTTGCATCTACACAGCCAGGTGAATATTGTGCGTATTTCCCTACAATGGCTGTCTGAGAACCAAGCCCAAACAAAATGGAAACAGGACATGAAAGTTTCCAAGTTTCTGTTACATTCACAAATATGTGTGTTTGTTTGTTTGTTTGTTTATTGTTGAGTGCTGCCGTCAGCAAAGTTCTAGCTGATCAAACCCAAAGAAAATATCCCTGAAACGTTTACCTGATAACAAGTATGGACAACCACTAAAACCAAACGTTTCCTCCTGACACCTTTAACACTAGACAAACTGCCTCAGGATGGTACCTTCCTGGTGACAGTGGCCTGTATATGGGCCACACAAACCAGGAGACAGATGAGCATTCATCCCAGGGACTTGGGTACAGTGGCATGCAGTCAAACAAGTCACTGCACCTGACTCAATACAAGTAACAGTGTGTTGGATGCTGAGAAAGGAGGAGTGAGTGAGTGAGTATGGTTTTACGCCGCTTTTAGCAATATTCCAGCAATATCACGACGGGGTACACCAGAAATGGGCTTCACATATTGTACCCATGTGGGGAATCGGACCCAGGTCTACTGCGTGACGAGCCAATGCTTTAACCACTAGGCTACCCCACTGCCCCTGAGAAAGGAGGAAGTCAGTGATGTTGGGCAGAGTAACGCTTATTCTCTGAAAATGTAGAGGTGTAGCAATACAGTGAGATGGTGATACGATGCATATCCCAATAATACAGGTGTAATACCATTAGTATCATGATACAGAACATCGATGAATTGTATAGAGAGACTTGCATCTTGATACAGTACAGTATTGCCATATTGCTACACAATCACAGAAAATATATAATTTTGACAGAAACAAACAATTCTAATTAAACTGAAAAGGAGCCTAGCACGTAAATCGTAAATCTATATTTGTTTCATATAGGGCTGGGTGGAAGGGAAATATCATGGTTCAGGGACTGTGAGGCAGTCTTGATGTCAGGCTTATTTCAAACTCATGACATCAGTAATATTCTCTAGTAATAAAAGTTGAAAGTGAAGTGAGAATTTAGTCTTAAAATGTGATCACTCTTAAGCAGATAACAAACCATGGACCATATTCACGACTGAGCTGTTTCAAACCCTGACCAGTGACATCTTGCAGCCAAGGGGTGGTGGGGTAGCCTAGTGGATAAAGCATTCACTCGTCACGCCAAAGACCCGGGTTCAATTCCCCACATGGGTACAAGGTGTGAAGCCCATTTTGGTGTCCTCCGCCATGATATTGCTGGAATATTGCTAAAAGTGGCATAAAAACAAACTCACTCACCCACTCTTACAGCCAAGGGACACAATTCTGTATAGTAAGTTGTCACACCTCATACTCTTGGACCAACACAAGGGTGGGCTTAACATAACATACAGATGTGGGAATCAAACTCATGACTAAGATCTGATTATTATATAGCTTTACCACTTGGCTACCCAACCTTCCTCTTAAAATTCAAATTCAAAAACCTTGTCCATACTTTGTGGCATACAGTATCAGTGTTCACTGTTCAGCGTGAAGCATGAAAACACACGATTTAATGGGTCTGAATAGGGACCCGGTATTCCAGCCCTCCAGCCATACTTTCTGTTAGAAGGTTGCCATGTCTACATGACATCAAGCACATCCACAGGGTGGATTTTAATAACCATCTCTGCCAACAATAAACACCTTCAGTCTGAAATACAGTTATCTGCTTTCAAGATTTTTTCTCAACTCAATATTAGCAAACTCGAGAGTTTTTCAAGAACTTTTCCCCCCATAATAAGACTTTACATACTCATGATATCAAGATGTTCCAATAAAGATAAACTGCCTTTAATATTTTGTTCTCAAAAGGTTCATTTTACCCTGAAAAAGACTAAAATAAACAAGGCCGAGTATTGAGTGAAAGGATGTAGTTAATCGATCGCCCAAGTCGTAACACTCGACACCACCTCAAACAAATCTCCGATGCAGCTATCTTACCCTCCCAGGCAAAGATGCTCTTTTGTCACCAGCACAGTCGTCCCCCCTTGGCTAACCTCTCTTCTCAATAGAGGAAGAAAAGAACATGGCCTTTTGAAACTCGAGATATTTCTCAACTGCATAGCTCAGTTAGCTTGGACAAAAACGACAAAAACATTCTTTGGAAAAAGAATCTGACTAAAAATTAATTTGCGCATGGCGGAAATTCTGATATTAATCAGAGTGGATGCCCAGCTAGCGCACCAAATTGGCAGGAGTCCGCAACAAATTAAACTACTCAAATAAAATTCACAGACAAAAATGGTGGAGAGAAAATTTTGAAATTTGCTGTGAAATAAAGGATGAGTCAAGCCACAACTGTTTCCATTCAGCACAAAATTAAATCATCTCCAGTGATTTGGTTGTGAACGCTACAGTAAATATTTGTTTTACCGCAAGCAACAATAGACGTATGGACGCAGAAGAGGGCGTTGGCCAAGGGGGTGTCTGGCTCCCACTTAATATTAGGAGGGACAAATCAGAAGCGCTTTTAGCAGCTTTGGCATAAACGTATCTCATCAAGATGAAATCTGGTCTCTAAAATTACTGCATTCATATCACCCTATGGTATAAGATGGCATCAAATTGTGCCTAGATTGAATTATATCCCAGCCTAAAACAAGGGCAGATGCTACAGAGTTTCTGGCAAGCAATAATTATATGCAATCTCTCTTCATAATCGTAGGTCTATTACATCATTCGCCTTACCCAAAACTTATGGTGTTAAGTTGCTATGGTACTTGCGTTTTACATTATTCAAACTTCACCTGAGCAAAAATCTTCAAGGAGAGATTTTACATTAACAGCAAGTATTGAAATATATAAAATAATCAGAATTATTGTTTATGCACTGTCACTAGTCTGGAGTACTACTGATGTAGGATATAACAGCATGTTATTGTCGTGTAAATGTGCTCAGTGAAATCTGGTCCATGTAAACATAGAGCTTCACAGAACCCTATTCTAAGTTAATATTACAACTACTTCAGAGGTGCAGATAGCCAGTGGTTAATAGTGTGAACACTAAATAATCGTTATACAATGTGTGATGAACTATTCAGACACTCAGACTAGATAAGAAACATACCTACTCTACTATAATTTACTACCTGAAAGTTGTACATCAGCAACAGTACCAGTTTAGCTTTATCTGCTGGTAACAACTTCCAAGTCATGTCATGTGCTATATTAATCATGAAAAGTGGGTCTTTTTTCTACATGGTGCTGAATGCAATCTATCACATTATGCCGTGGAATGACCATATACTGTTTAGACTGATTTTCCTCTGTGGTTTGAGGTCAAGATGGCGGGTTTAAATTGATTTTCTAATCAGTCAACTTAATAGGCTGCCTAACTCATATTCAATTCTTTTATATTTGGATGCCTTAAACCATTTTTAGAAACTCTTCATTAAAAACGTTCATTCAGTGGTGGAAATACTTTTCACAAGATAACAAAAAATTATTTCTTCCCAACTATTTAATCCTACTTCCTGAAACAAGAAGAAAGTCTTCACTTATTATGTTTCTACCCTGGCCTCAGGTTCTTAGTGGTTGTGGTTTGTTAAGAGAAAATTATTAACAGATGAAAAAAACATTCAATCACCATTTTATTAAATAAAAGGGGTAGCATTAGCTGAGTTGAGGTATTATTGTTAATGATTATACCATCCAATACTGATGAGGAAAAAGCACCATTTTTCTAAAGTATTCAATATCCATATATCAGTTTTCAATGAAAACTGTACATTAAATAGAGAATCTCACCCAAGTGTCTACTGATATAAATTATATCAACACGAGTTGATAAAGTTACTATCGAGGCTTGCCGAGGATATTTTTCCTTTTATCAACGAATGTTGATATATTTGATATCAGAAGAAACGTGGGTGAGGTTCTATTTATCATAAAAAATCACTCTTCTTTAGTTTTCAATGAAAAGTGTACATCTGAACACGGCACTGCCCAGGGACTTGCAGTGCAGCGATGTCATAGCATTGTGATGTCATCAACTTGTTGATCAGCGATGTCATAGCATTGTGAGTCATGTAAGTGATGACGTCAGGGCTTTGTACAAAATCTACTGTCAAAACGATGTCTCCTAAGAGATGTATATTTATATTTTATTACAACATTTAACACATTTAATATGTGTCAGTTGACTTTGGATATATAAGCCTTGCCTCAAAGATGAAAAAAGAGAAACATGCTTCTAAATTATGATGAAAAACTTTTTGATGAGTAAACCGTGTATAAATGTGTCATCACTCCCCAAGTCCAAATATAAACCAAACACTGCTATCTCTTATCTATATTCATCATGAATGAAGTGAAATCAACTCTGATCGTATCTTTGTCCATGGTGTCAACTATAAGTACTTGATAAATGTCAATCTCTTACTTGATTGGTGGCAAGTACATACTAATTCACTTGCCACCTCAGGGGTCAAACAATTTTTAACTCCTTAAGATTACCGTGTGTAACTGTCTTGTATATAGTGCCGGAAATAGCAATCAGCTGTGCTCACGTTTTCCGGTGATCAAGTTAAAACATATACCCAATAATGTAACAGGATGAATTTTGACGCAGTGATCGGTAAAATATAATAGCTAAAAGTATTATTTTACCAAAGAAATATATCCTAGCCTTGTGTAATTTTAATTATAAGTTTTGCTCTACATATGTTAAACATGTATAATCAACACTAAGGTTATACGGACCCTCACAAACATGGTAGGCAGAAGTTGTATGCTCATGGAATGAGGTGAAATAGACATGCCAGTTGATTATTACATCATCCAGCTACAATAAATATGACATTAAGCGAAACAAAATTTATTTGCGTATCCATTTTCTGTCAACTACACTTCATTTCGAGACGTGAGTAGACACAATATGATTGTGATTTCTGTGAATAATGCAGACCAAAGTTATAATTATCAGTAACTGCCAGTTGTCTTGGCTGAGATGAGACCCCATCGCAAGTGATCGGCTAGTGTACAAAATATACCATTTTGATACTGATTTTAACAGTCAAGTTAGGATGATTTGTAAATGTTACTTGCCACCGGGCAAGTCAAAATGCCTATTTTACCTGTCCGACACCGAATACTTACTGTCCCCGGGAGTCGGGCAATCATATTGTTTTACCCCTGCACCTAATACTTGTCTTCAGTATTTTCTGTTTATAAAAAGCAACAAGTCTCTGCAGCTCACCTGCATAAGATGAAATAATGGCAGCGATGTTTACAGCCAAGGGAATGGAAATTTGTATGCAACTGTTAGAAACAGCACAACTGGGATCAATTGTACAGTGTTAGGTCCATAGGACTGGTAGTTTAACAGATGTCAATAATGTATAAGTTGAATCAGTATGACAAGGCACATATTAGTTGGTTTAACTTTCATTTCTTTCACTTTTACCCACAATAGATATAAGAGATCACATGTATCAAAGTTTGTTTTTTTAATGTATTTGTACTTCAAAGTTATGTTTTTAAAACAATCCAACAACCAAATAATAAAAACACCAATATAAGCAATACCGTTTCCCCAACTGGAGCACTGTAACTACAAGTCCAAAATGGGTAAGTGAGCGAGTCTCACGCCATATAAAACTACCAGCAAACACATAGTACGACATCAACATGAAACAGCCCCTGTGTGAACATGTATTTGTGGGATATGCTGTGAGGCGTTAACCATCCACCATAGTCACTATTCCACGTGACCTCTTACTCGAACTGATCATGTGACACAGGACACACTTTCCTTACAAAATGGCTACCCTGCAATCTTACGCTGTCCATCGCCAGCTGGTAACTAGGACTTTTGATTTGTAAACTTATGACAATGTCACCACGACATAAACAACGCTGGTAGATATATGTATCTTGGGTATTTTGTTTTGACAGGAGCCATGTTATCATAAGTGTGTTCTTTGTCATGTGACCACCGAACAGAGCAGAATATCATATGTCTGTTACATTAAGGTCAATGAACATTGTTGACGGCATATCCCACAAATACAAGAGCAGATTTTCCCCAGAACTACTGTGTGCCAGACACATTATATAATTATATATATACTTACATCTTGGGACATTTGCTTGAAAAACAAACATAAGCACAATATGACACCACAGGAACATGCAAAAGTAGTCATGCATTAAAAATACAGACAAATACGGCTATTTCATCAATTTATGTGTGACATAAAACATAGTTCCACATAGGAACCACTATAATCTAGACCTGCCATCTGATGGATCTATAAAGTACGCAGGCAATTGCAGCAATGTTCCAGTCATATAACACATGGTTCAGCAAGAGTGAGTGACTGAGTGAGTGAGCATTATTCCAGCAATATCACAGCAGGGGACACCAGAAATGGGCAAGAGTGAGTGATCGAGTAGGGCATAATGCATGTAGTATCACGGGATTCCATGTATATCACAGGATTCCATGTATATCACAGAATTCCATGTATATCACATGTATATCACAGGATTCCATGTATATCACAGAATTCCATGTATATCACAGAATTCCATGTAGTATCACAGAATTCCATGTATATCACAGGATTCCATGTAGTATCACAGGATTCCATGTATATCACAGGATTCCATGTATATAACAGGATTCCATGTATAACACAGGATTCCATGTATGTCACAGGATTCCATGTATAACACAGGATTCCATGTATATCACAGGATTCCATGTATAACAGGATTCCATGTATGTCACAGGATTCCATGTATAACACAGGATTTCATGTATAACACAGGATTCCATGTATGTCACAGGATTTCATGTATAACACAGGAATACATGTATGTCACAGGATTCCATGTATATCACAGGATTCCATGTATGTCACAGGATTCCATGTATAACATAGGATTCCATGTATGTCACAGGATTCCATGTATATCACAGGATTCCATGTATGTCACAGGATTCCATGTATATCACGGCATTTCATGTATATCACAGAATTCCAAGTATATAACAGGATTCCATGTATATCACGGCATTTCATGTATATCACGGCAATCTATGTATATCATGGCGTTTCACATATATCACAGTATTTCATGTATATCACGGCATTCCATGTATATCATGGCGTTTCACGTATGTCACAGCATTCCACGTATAATCACAGAATTCCAAGTATATCACAGGATTCCATGTATATCACAGCATTTCACGTATATCACAGGATTCCACATGTATCACGGCATGCCATGTATATCACGGCATTTCCCATATATCACCGTGTTCCACGTATATCACGGCATTCCATTAATATCACAGCATTTCACGGCGTTCCATGCATATAACAAAGTGAGTGAGTGAGTTTAGTTTTATGCCGCTTTTAGCAATATTCCAGCAATATCACGGCGTGGGACACTAGAAATGGGCTTCACACATTGTACCCATGTGGGGAATAAAACCCGGGTCTTCAGCATTACGAGTGAACGCTTTAACCACTAGACTACCCCAGAGCTCCTGCAGTTCCTCAGACAATCTTCTACTCACACTGAACCCATGTGTTCATCCCAATGAAGCAACACCATAACCACAAGGCTACCCAAGCACCCTCAATCACAAGACACAAAACAGAGTTAATTATACAGAGAAGGCTATATCAAACATGCAGGTATTCTGTCATGGGAGAGACATATTGGTGTTATATGCTTACATCCTTCTCGGTGAGACTTGGGGTCAGCGTATAGATGTTCAATCCGGCTGGTGTTGAAGGAGGAAGACCTTCTGATAATTCCATGGACCTGAAATGTACATTATCTCATTACAAGTCACAACATCTCAGTCCTATATGTGACGATTCAATTTTGAGACAATGAACAAAATTTGGAGGTAAAGCTAAAATACCTAAAATAACAAAATTGTATTAATTTGATCAGTCAAAAGGTCAACATGTCCCTTTTCCTAAAAAAAGTCACCTTCAAGAATTCCTGACAAGAATGGAACATGAAACTGTTCGGAAAACAGTCTAAGGGAGGTAATCCAAATATGACTGGCCGACAAAATCAAATGCAGCACCAGTTGTGTCCCTTGAAATACTACAGAGTGTTATAACAATGTCAGAATTTGAAAATGAATGAGAATTCTGCATAAGGGATGGCTTCTGTGTGAGAAGCAGAGTATTTAGTATTGCTGGTCCTATATTTGTACTTAGTGGGCCTTCAGAGGACATTAGTTAGCAGTTTTACAAGATATACAAATGAAATAAGAACTTACTTCATATCCTTTGCCAAGAAGAAACTCGGCCAGGTAGGAACCATCCTGAAAATAGATAAATAAATGTCAAAATTTCAGAAAATGCACATTTTCACATAAAATGTTTAATTCTGAATTCTGCATCCATACAGCCCTTGAACCAAAATTATTGAAAGCATAACATCACAACGTTTATCTCCAAAGATGTTTGCTTTTACCCATTGGTACAAGAAATCTATATGAATCATGGGTTGAACACCTCATATCACTTAAGTATGATTCTAGATAGATTTTAAAAAATGTAGGATTATGGTAAAAATATAACTAAAGATAAATATAAATACTATAACATAATTATCAGCAATCAAGAAATAGTTGGGTTGTGTATGCTAACTTCTCAAGGCATTCTTTCCCTTCACATAATGCCGATATAATCATATATGAAATCTTGGACTGTCATTGAAATAAGCTCAAAAAGAAGAAAGTAATTATGTATACTTCAAAGTAATGAATTTCAGGTTTAATTCTCTCAACTGTAAACTAAAGACTGTTCTCTTCTCTTTTAAAGCACATAGATAAGACATAGTTTGGTATTTGAAATAAAATACAAATCTAAACACATCTCTATATCAGTTTTTATCCTGTTATTTATTGTCATCATATGAATAAGATCATCATTTTAATAATATCAAACAATCTTTTTGTTCTTAGCGTAAAGATCAAACCTCATTGCGAGTGCACAAATACATCAGGACCACAAATAAACATGTCACACCAAGAGAAAGGGAAGAGCTCGATTGAGAAAACATTTCAGCTATTTAATGTGTCAATAAGCATGAATAATAGTAATGACCACTGCCAATCGAGTGAAATAAAGTCACTCCTACATAAAAAGTCAGTTTTGAATGCTGCCAACTCGTAACTCAAGTGGTCTTCAGGGCTCCAGATAACTTTTGGGGGTGTGAGTGTACTTACACATCATATTGCAAGTGGAGGTGTACTGAGAATTTTGAAGGAGTACTGACATGTTTTTGTGTGAGCAAGTTGGTGATGTGGTTTGTCTGGACGATTTATCGATCACTATTTCCAACCATGTACTAGTATTTGTATTTGAAGACGCGTGAGAAATAACTGAGCGACCGTGTGATGCGCGAAATGTCAGGTCCTACTGGATATAAATAGGAACAATGTAGTTTTTAGCCAATCGAAAAATAGTGACGCATATCATTGCATGGCAACGCAAGTGATTCCTACTGTCGGGGTTTCCTCATGTGTCAAATCGTGTTTCGCAAAAGAAACTTGACAAGTATTATCCGAAATAGATTTCCATTTGCACGATACGCACGGAAATTAAATGTTAGACGTACAAAGGTATTTATGTGGGTACACGATACGCTTGAAATCTTATATTATGTCGTACTTGTTTGATTTTGAGGCATACATTACATCTGTACGCCCCTTATCTGTAGCCCTGGTCTTGACAGTAAACTCACACAAAGCTTGTCATAGACTCATCTCAGCACAAAGAGGGACACTCACTCACTCAGTCTTGCTGTGATCCAATGCTGTTTATATTGTTGTGTGACAGAAAAGTTTGTTTAGCCATGAAGTAGTTCTGGCAAAGCGATATTTTCACTGCAGTTTTCTCAAACTCAGAAGAAATCTCACTTAAGTATATAACAAATGAGGATATGACAGAGTGCAATGTGTCACCAAGATCCACAATTCTATGAATGGCATAGCAGCTGTCATCCTTCATTTCTCACAAGAACATCTGTACTAAGATATAGACAGGAGAAATGTTCTGTGGTGGCATCACTTCCAAATCAAGGCTATGGTTACCTTTAAATGTAAGCGGAGGTTGCCATCTGATCCTTTGGATCTTTGGTTGTGATAAAACCACCATGATTTTATGGCACTTCACTAAATCATTCATTTTGTTCAATGAACAGGGATGTTTCGACTATGAACTACTGTAAAGACTGTAAGAGTTGTCTCCCTTCAACTGTGACTCATTTTAACTTTTTAGAGGTTATCCTAGTGTGGTTATATACTGAGTTTCTGTCTATTCAGACTGTGGTGGAGCAAATGTCAATCAAGTTAATAAATTGTAAAGAAAACAATCAAATAAGGTCAAAAGCATTTTGAAGGGTTGGTTGGCTAATTGGAACCACAAAGTTTTTTAGGCCTGCAGGGTACATCAACACATGTCCCCCTTGAAACTGTGGACAACCTATAGTAACTGCCTCAAGAAGTTTGTACAGCTCATCAGAATAACATCACTAGGGGACTGCCCAACTCAAGAATCCAGTGCATTTGACACACAATTTTCACAAAATTTCTCACGCTTATATTTTCATATGATATTGTATTTCAAACAAAGGCTTCTTTTTCATCATGAAGTTTAAAAAATGCATAACAGCTCCAAAGCACGATAAATTATATAATCTCTTTTTTAAAAATTATTTAAAGCTTTTCAGTTTTATTGTATTCTACTGCACTACAATAATTATAATTGGTACCATCAGGGTTTTACAAGATGCAGAAATGTAAGTTCAATACGCACAAACAAACAAACACAATGGACACAGACAAAAATATGAGTGAGTGAGTGAGTGAGTGAGTGAGTGAGTGAGTGAGTGAGTGAGTGAGTGAGTGAGTGAGTGAGTGAGTGAGTGAGTGAGTGAGAGTGTGTAGTTTTACGCCACACTCAGCAATATTCCAGCTATATGGCGGTGGTTGGCAAATAATCCAGTCTGGACCAGACAATCCAGTGATCAATAGCATGCGTATTGATCTACACAATTGGGAACTGATGAGATGTGTCAACCAAGTCAGCTAGCCTGACCACCCGATCCCCCATTAGTCGCCTAAGCATGGGTTACTGAAGATCAATTCTCAAGTGAAGCATGAAGGTTCGAACAATACATTCAATATATACATGAAATATGGTACACATATTTCATTGAAGAATTTTCAATTTTGATGATTTTGAAAGTACCAAAGAAAAGGTGTTGAAGATGCTCTGAGTTCACTATCAAATATCACAGTCAATCTTAACTTAACTTAAAGGTCACATGCAACCAAAAAATCAAACATAATTAAAACACAATTATCACTTATTCATGACATATAATATACATTGCTGGTTACGAAAAAACATATAAACAAAATTATAAGCGTACAATCGCAGATCAAAAGTGCAATATTGTGTACTTGGGTTTACTTCCCAAGAAACGAAGCAGCCGGGATACCGAACCCAGTCAGAGCGGGTGGGTGTGCACTCAAGTGTAACGGCTGGTTCATTTGCAGATGCCCTCACAGCTCATTGTGTGTGTATATATAGAGATGTTGGGTTTTGTAAATACATGCTCATTTTTTGTGTATAACATTTTGCAATCAACAGACATCATAACATGTCATGTGTTCAAGTATCACACCTGCCTGTCTGTGTAATTACATAATGTGACAGAGACCAAACTCGGGCCATAAATCAATGCATTTTGTTTATGGTGTATAACCTGATTGGTGTTAAGTTCAAATTGCATGTGGTCAGTGATTGCAGTTGTGTATTGAATGTGGTAATTAGCAGACAGGCAGGCAGACACATAGGTGTCAATAAAACAGACATTGAGTTTTGTCTGTGACAACGACATATCTATATCACAGTTAGAAATTCTGTCAACGCTAAATAATGACACTGCTTTTAAGTATCAAACTGAGAAAGTGACTCGGTAAGAAGAACATGTGGTGAAATAGACAAATGAAATTATATAAACAGTTAATTTACTGTCATAACATATAAAAAGCTTGCGCCTGTGAAATATCAACAAAGCATTAGAAAAATAGCGCACACCAAAGCCTTCACCGAGTATTCACCGGACAACCCGCACGAACCTATTTCACTGCGCACATGCTATGAGCGCAGCCCAGCTGTTGAAACCACTTGAATTTCCCCAAGCTCTGGGGGAAAGTTAGTGAATCGTTTGAACTACGATTTCACACGGGGTTTTTCATCGCGTTATTTTTCAACTTTATAAGTTGAATTTGCATTTTTGATGATTTGTTTCAGTAAGTCCATACCGAAAGGTATCAGAATCTGCAAAGTTGTGTTTTACGTTGCATGTGACCTTAAATGTTTCTGATTTTTCATTTATCTTAAAGAAACGTACCCAATGAAGTCTATAATATCTGGCAAGTCTAGATTACGTACATTTTCAGAAAATGAAGAGTCTCTGGTCTCTTTTCATCACATTTTACTAACATAATTTGACCACTGTTTTATTTGCTAAAATATTTCATTTAGAGACTAGATGGTTGTCTGCATTAACAGCAGAAGAGGGCTTAAGGCAATGTGATCACAGTTTCTTCCCATGGACTCCTCCAGGGTTGAAAACACACGCCTGATAGTTTGGTATACCACAGCCTAAGAACATTATACACAAATAATATTCCGCCATTAAAGATGTCTTTGCATTGAGCATGCAGGGCTAAAAATATCCTGACAGTGCTTGACTACCATATATGAAAAATAGATACAAACAATACTACCTACAAGCTAAAAAGAACCCTAACTCTTGATAATGATCGTGTTACCAAGGGGTAACACTGAGGGGAAATATGTGGATGTGATCAGGAGAATAGGAGACAATCTACCACACAGCTCTACCTCACTTTCATAAACAACCATGCTCTGATGACTTTCAATGGTCACTCCTATACAAGTCCCGGTAATGCCCTTTCTGTAACGCCCTTTCTGCCTGAACAAGCATACATGATCATTGCAAGGTTTGTCTAGATCTAGACTTGTTGTTGACACAGTCCAATGCAAGGTGTGTCTGATCTAGACTTGCTGTTGAGACAGCCCAATGCAAGGTGTGTCTAGATCTAGACTTGTTGTTGACACAGTCCAATGCAAGGTGAGTCTGATCTAGACTTGCTGTTGACACAGTCCAATGCAAGGTGTGTCTAGATCTAGACTTGCTGATGACACAGTCCAATGCAAGGTGTGTCTAGATCTAGACTTGCTGTTGACACAGTCCAATGCAAGGTGTGTCTAGATCTAG